TGGAAAAAAAGAAAAAAAAACAACCCAAACAACACCCACCTAAAAACCACACACACAAACCCAAAACCAAAACCCAACAAACCTACTTGAAAAATCTACTTCCCTGTGAGCATCCCTTCTCTGTGGGGGAGCTGCAGCCTGCCCCAAAGCAATAGACTCCAGGTTCAAGAAGTCCAGGCAATAAGGAACAGTGAACTGAAAATCCCAGCAGCCCACAAAACATGTTGTGGATCAGCTCGATGTTTTGTTCTGGAGAAAATATGGTTGTATTTCCACAGGCAGGGCTAGTAGCAATGCGTGAGCAAAACCAACAGGCGTTCACAGGATGTTTTAGGTTTCAATAGACAGGTAAGCTCCAACAAGACAGTGTTTCAGACCTTCTTCACCTACATCTGCTGACTGGAATGCAGCATCACCAATACTGGTACTTGCCTGTATCAACAGGACCCATGAAACAAACAAGTTATGAAACGTGTCTTTAGATCTAGCCTGGAAAGCTGTGAAACGACACAGAACGAAATCAAGCTGCATCATTCAACATAGCTTCTCCTCAGGGAAAAGCATCAGCATTATTCCCTTTAGAAGAAACTGTTTTGCTGCATTTACCATGTTTTAAATGCAGATATGGACACATTTTATTTCTGCACAGCATCACCTTCTTTTTCTACTGAAATGAGTGGTACAGCCTCCTTTTAAGACTCTTCTGGGTTTAGCTAGTATGACTTCACTTTAGGAGGTGGAAACAGAGGGCTTCCCAAACTGCTGTCCATCATTACCCTTCCCTGCAGCGCTGACTCAGGAGAAAGAGCAAGGTGAGTCCAGCAGGGATGATGCACAACACTCAGATTTCATGTTGCTCTGACTGTGCTACTGTATTCACCTATATACAAAGATTAGGAAATTGCATTCATTCTGCACACTTACAATTATACTAGTCATGAGCACTTTGAAAGGCAAGTTATATAACAATTCGAAATTCTTGGCATCCATAAAGTATTTATTTATCCACCAATTTTAAATAAAATAAGTGTAACCAACAGGGTCTATAGATAATTTAAAATTATCCCAACTAGCCTGAGAAAAGCAGCCTACATCTACAAAAAAAGCAGCTATTCATCTAAAGAGCCTTAGCTTGCGACTGCTGCAGTAGAACACACGTTTTAATGAAGGAGGCAGAAGAGAGATGGGCTCCAACACGCAGTTAAAGGGCCATATCCTCATGCCTCACAAATCGCTGGTAGTAGCTGTTAGTAAGCGCAGGTGCCAGTTTGTCCAACACACCTCCTAGGGGTCCTTGGAGTATCTCAAAGCAGCTGAATAGCACCTGATGAATATCACACCACATTTAACAAGAAAGTAAACTTGTCCTCATTCAGATCAATTCTGCTTCTGCTCACACATTCCTGAATATACCATAAAAACCTGACATAAGCCCTGTTGCCTGGGGACATTACAGGCATCAGATCATCTGCGCGTTCCAGAAGCTAGTGTGTAGAAAGCTACAGCTGCAAACCTACAGCTCAGCTCGCAATTTAAAAAAAAAGAAAAGCTATATTATACACAAAACAACACTAATTGGAGGATATTTTCTCCACCTAATGGCTTTAGATATAAGCTATTTACAGCAGCCATTGGTTGCTGATCATTCTCAAACAGCTGAAACAAAAACATACCAAACTCACCACGCAATCATTTCTTAAGATTTACTATTTTTAAAAAATGTTACGGCATCCATTAGCACATCAGTTTCTCAGTCATCACTATTACAGTTTTTAAAATGCTGAAGAGCAGCAACAAGCAGGTTTTATCACCTTATTTTCCTTACACTTCCACCCTTCAGAACAGCAAAACATCCAAATGCTAGGTGAGCTGCCCAAGATCACAGCACTGAAGCTGAAGAAAGGATGCAGGATTTTCTTATTACATCAACAAGCATCATCCCCAATGTCACATCCCTTTCACTAGCTGAAACATACAGCATGTGAGAAATAGCAAACCCAAGCAGATGGAGAAGTACCTGAAGACTTCATACAGCCTGATACCCAAAACATGACAGTGCTCTGTATCATACCACCTCATCAGTAATCTACTGAGCTTGCAGAAATTGTTTGTATTTTTTACAAAGGAGAAATGAACACAGAAAGCTCACCCACATCTTTTGTCAGCTACCTAGCAGAGTAAACAGTCAGACATGTTTTGGCAAATGAATTCTAGAGACATGTGGCCTCTCATCCCCACGCAGTATAACTCAAATTATTTATTGTGAATATGAATTCATCCTTCACTGTTGAATAAAATCTTCTACGTACCCACAAAGCACAAATCTCTTGGACTGAGATGGATACTCCTGCTGACCTGTGCCACCAAAACAGAAGTACCACAACAACCATTCTGGCAAATATAACCTCTCTCCTGCAAGAGATTAATTTCTGCTGCTCATTTTCACTCCTACTCTCTTTTAAATGTCTTAATAAGCAGAAACTTTAACACTGATCTCCAAGCACAGAGGTTACCTTCTTACTCACTGTGCTGAAATGCTCTGACGCAGTTTTACAGCTTGAGCGCCTCACAGCATTCTGACAAAAGCAAAAGCCAATGCACATGATGGAGGAGAAGGGAGGGTACAGAAAGACAGGTGCGTATTTTGTCTCCATGCCTGTCTGAAACTGGAGGTGTGGGGCACAGTCCTTTCACCTACTCGGCAGTACTCAGGCCCACAGACCCAGCCTTTGGTCCATTTCCCTCACTTTTACTTTGAGCCAATCAATGTATGAAACTTTATTCTCTGCGCCGTCCACCTTACAGGTTAGGGATGTGGTTCGCTGACCCCAGTGCCAGCCTTGCCTTTTCTCGACCAGTTTGCTGAGGCTGGGGGCTACTGCTGGGACCCGGCTCCCATGTGCCCTCCTGCCACCCAAGAAAATGGCTGTGCGACCTCTGAGACATCAAGCATGTCCCCGGCCCTGGAGCCAAGCCAAGCTTCAAGGCCAGCCAGCGGCACTAAGATTTATGCTGTATCCTCTCTTAGCGCATGGGCCTATTAAAGCAACGTGCTGATAATGCAGGCCAGTAAATCATGCGAATAAACGATCACACAAAGAAAAAAACCAAAGATGCTGAAAAATTAAACCTTTGCCTCTTTGTTAAGAACTCCCAGTCTCCCCACACACTGAGAGAGCAGGCAGTTGCAGCTAGAGGAGTTCAGCTGGTAACGAAGCAATCAATCTTCCCGTCCTTCCTCCCCAAACCTCAGGGCTCTGTCATTTTGCAGTTTGTAATTTAAAGCCAGCTCTTGGCTTCAGACCTGCAGAAAAGCACCACTGCGAAAATACACTGCGAGTGCCAAACTTCTGTGCAGGATACGCCACCATTTTTAATTTTTTTTTTTTTTTTTTCCTCTGCTTGGATTTACTTCTACTTCTTAAACACAAAATCCACCCATAAAACTGAAAGCTGTACAAGCTGGTTATGAGCCCAATTTCAAGTGTGTTACACAAGTCTTAGTCTAGTAAAATTCCATTTTTTGGCAGACTGTTACAAAAATCATGCATACCTATACTCGGCCATTCTGTAGATAAATATTTTATACAGATACTTCATACATACTCAAATAAAACAAGATATAGGAACTTTTGTATAGCGATTCAAACTGCTGTCTGCCACTCTGGAATGGTGCTTTAAGATGTAGCAGATGTAGAGTGATTTGTTTCTAACAAATTGTATCTGTGGCTCTGTGGCCATAATGCGTTTCAAAGGGTTTTGTTTTTTTTAAATCGCATCTGTCAGGAATTACACAAGTATAGTCAATCCAGCCTCCTGACATCCCTTCCAGCCCTGTTTCCTGTAATTTCATTACCTTTTGTTTCTTACTTTTCTTCTATTGCTTGTTCCTACCCTATCCCTCCCGTCGGCACTCTGAGAAATCTTTTCAGCCCTACGCCACCTTTTTAATTTTTTTTTTTTTTTTCCTCTGCTTGGAAGAAAGGGGAGCGGGGTGGCTGTTTGGTCTGGGACTAACGAGCAAAAAGAGTTTCTCTCTTCGTCATTTCTGAAACGCCCATTAAAGCATCGTAAAAGCTAAAAGGCATTTAACAGGTACCTTAAATAGCACTGCTTCATCAAGGACCACGACTTAAGAAAAGCTGCCTCCCCCATGCTGAGTGTGAAATTTACTTTAGAGAAAATGCCCCCTTTGCCCCCGGCTCCCCCTCCCCATTAAAAACCACAGTTAGCAGTTAGCTGAAAAGTATTTAACCAAGACTCCAAGACTGGTAGATTTTTCCTCGATTTTTGCTCTCTGACAGCAGCTACACTGGGTCATTCTTTTTTCATACTCTTCTCTACAATCATTTTCTACCCTCCCACCCATCCAGCAGATTTGCACACAAGCAGACACAACCCGCTTCCATTTTACACAGCCAGCTCTCCAATCCGACCCAATATAAACCATTTGCCTTTTAAAATATTGCTGTAAGCAATCACAGAAACCTGTTTACACTAGGCTGGTTACGGGGGGGGGAACAACCCAAAACAAACGAACATACAATCATTTTCTTCCCTCCCACCCATCCAGCAGATTTGCACACAAGCAGACACAACCCGCTTCCATTTTACACAGCCAGCTCTCCAATCCGACCCAATATAAACCATTTGCCTTTTAAAATATTGCTGTAAGCAATCACAGAAACCTGTTTACACTAGGCTGGTTACGGGGGGGGGAACAACCCAAAACAAACGAACAAATAATAGCCACGTCCAGAAGAAGAAAACCAGTTTCAAAGAGCTATTAACTTGTTGGATGGGGAGAGATTTGACAGGGAGCAATTAAGACTTTGTTTTTCCTGTTAAAAGTTTATGCTGAGAGGAGGTAGTGGACACTTCAGTGAACAAAACACGCGAACAAAAATGTATGCGGGACCTGCCTCCAGACGCATTTCTGCGAAACGCGGCGCAAAAAACGGGAGCAAACCCTGCCCGCAACGGAGCGGGGGCATCGCTACCGACATGACGTGCCTTCAACGAAACCCACCGCCAGCGGTAAAAGTTGCTCAATGCCGTACCTCGACTGGGCAGCCATCGCGAAGTTTATGCCGCCAAGCGTCCTCTATCCATGAGCTCTCTCCCCAGCTCTCCGGGCTCTACCCCCCTGTCAGAATCTCCATTTGCCGGCCGCCTTCCCGCCCGGTTCCCGCTTCCCGTCAACGTGCCCCTCCAAGACGTCACCGCGCCCCTGCCGCCGCGAGCCCCAGTTCCCCGAGCCCCGGCTGGCTCCCGCCGGGGTGGG